AATTTTCTAGCAGAATATACCAAAAACTTTATTAATTTTGCTGGCTAACAATGCATAATTTTCAATTATTGGAGGGTTGTACACTTCGCCCCCCCCCCCCCACTTTCGCGGGAGCTGTATATAATCAAATCTCTAAATGACTCAGTTTTGCAAAGTATTGGATGAAAATAACAACGAATCTCAAATGTAGATTTACGTCATGTGTGTTCATTTATAATCGACTACTTCGATTCAGTGGGTCAGATAGATTTCATCGTAATTTCTTTCGTGAACCATAATTTGATAAAATGTTCCAAAACTTTTTTTTAACCTCCGTAAGTTTCTAAACATTTAACCAATGAATGAGCTTGCCGTGTAGAAAAGAAAGATCCTAACAGGAGTGGAGGAACAGAGAATCATTTTTTGTTTGAATTAGAATTCTAAATCGAAATTTAATTAACTAGTGTACAAATTCCCTTTTTTCGATGCCCAATTTTAAAACTATTATTTCGATTGGCTGTGACATTTTCCATGACGAAATCTGAATATACAACAAATCACATTGATGATGCAATTACTCTTTTCTTGATAGGACACAAAAACAATGCAGATATAGTTGATATTGCATTTTATCGATCCTTTTTCTTTGTTTGTTTTGATTTTTTACATTAGATTGTCACATGGCGACAACAACACAGAGAATGGTTTGTGTCAAATGTAAGAGAACGAGGAGCCTTGCTACATGTAAAGGCTGTTCAAAAGATTTTTGTCTCAATCATATTAATGAACATCATAATGAATTAAGTGAAGAATTAGGTAAAACTGAAGATCAATTTAATGAGTTTAGAATTGAAATTGACAAACAAAAGACTGAGCCACAAAAATACAATTTAATGAAACAAATCGATGAATGGGAGCGTGCATCGATCGAAAAGATTCTAAAAGTAGCCAATGAAGTTCGTCATGAACTCTCATCGCGTGTTATCACATTTGTCACAGATGTTGATTTTAAATTGAAACAACTGACCGAACAATTAATTCATTATCGTAAAGAGGAAGATTTCGCTGAACCAGACATTCAATTTTTCAATGAAAAACTCAAACAATTAAAAAACAATCTCAACGATCTATCAAATTTCAAATTTGAATTCGATTCAAGATTTTTCATTAACAAAATTCGTCTTACAACACAAGGTAAATCGTGTCTTCTAGTTGAATTTGTAAGGATCGTCCAATTTTTTCTTCTACATTCATTATTGTTGAGAGTGAATAAGGTGAAATAGTGAAGCAAATCTCGATATTTACATCATATAATTATTTTCATTGAAATTTCTGAAATTTGTTTTTGTCTTAAACCACATAATTATGAAACTTCAGTTTCTTCGGTATGTAACCACAGTCGTTTTCGAGAAGCAAATATTCCATGAACTTTTTACATTTTCAAATACAAAAAACTCAACGAATCGATTTCAAACTAAATAAGAATGAGCATAGCGTCAAAAAATGAACTCATCAAAAAAGATTTTGCAAATCGTGTTGAATGATGAGTTCAATTTCGATGTGAAATCAACTACAGTTAGTCATCTTGATTGATAAGAACAAAACTCGAGAAATCTTGTTTATTCGTATCAAAGAACAAGTCGATCTCGTCAATGTTCGACTTTTGCTTTGAAAGCACGAAAAAAAAAGAATCAAGTGATTCTGAATTTTCAATTAGGCTGACCTGATAAACAAAAAAACTTTCAAAAATTAGTTCTACTTTAATCCACTTTTATCATAATGAAATCTTTGTTTTTTTCGTTTAGAATATTCACATGACGAACATTTTGACATAATATCAGAACAGGGTATTGAATAGAAATTAAGAGGAACACAATGGATTTTTTTTCAAAAGCGAACAAAAAGAAAACAACGATCGATGAATCTATCATTGATGTTTGAAAGTGCATTTCTCAATTTGTTTCTGTAAGAGATAAGTTCAATTATCTCTACTTCAAAAACATTACACAAGTCGATGTCTTCTAAACGACGTTTCTTCCATCTTCTATTTTAATGCACAACAAACATCTTTGTGTTCTTCGAACTCTCTCTCTCCACCTGTATAGTTATTGTTTTGATTGACAACTTTTCAGAATCGTAAATCATTAAAAAGTTTTTCTTCATGTTTTGTCTTACCTTCTTCTCTTATTTTTATCGTAGAGTACAGTTATTGGATTAAACAACTGATGAATTTTTGTGTAGTCAGTGACTGTTTTCTATGATAAAGAAAATTTTTTTTTTGTTGATCGAAAAATATTTTGTCTGAGCTACACAAATGTTGTATCTTTCACGATTGATGCATCGTCAACATACTTGATTTTGAGAGTGAAGATGAAGACAATGTGTTAACTGTCAAATGAAGTATAATTGACATGGAGTCGAGGTCCAAGATTCTTGCCTAATTATCGAATATTTGTATGATTCTTTTAAATTGCTAACCAGGACACAATTCAGAAATGTCGATGATTGTTTCCTCATGTATTTAGAATAGTTAGAAAGCTAGAAAAATTGCGAGACTATGTGAAGTGTTTTGAATTCCTCTCAAACTGATATCAACAAAAGCATAACTTGAGAGTAGCTATTCATCGAGAAGAAATGATCGTTTGATCTTGAACGATGAACTGATCCACATATGATGAATAATATTATTGAGTCAAAATTTGCGATAGTTGAATAAAAAATGTCAAATTTTCTTTTCTCCAAAAATAGCAATAAGTGAAAGAAAAAGAAAACAAAGAGAAAATGATTGAAGAAACTATCTCTGAATAAAAATTGAAAAAAAGTTGAACTTCGATTCTCATCACGTCCGACTGATATTCTATGAAAAGTAAAGAAATGCATCTTGTTAAAACTTTATCGCGATCTTTTCTCTATTCGAATGAGTCATTAATCTTGATGTTTTCGAAAATATACAATTGTGTCAAGTATTTCAAAACTTTTGTCGTATCTCTCAAGTTCTAAATGACGAGAGAAAATTGACAACAATTTGCTAACTATTCTTTCATATTTTGAATATTCATCTGACCTATTTAATCAAGATCACACTTGATGAAACTTCATCAACTATTTTTTGAAGTGTCGATCGTTTATTCTTAAATACAAATATTCTATTTCATCATTGACATTATATTAATAGTTCTTAATTTGATTTTTCTTTCTACTTAGAGAATACATCCTATTCCGCGATGTTGAACATTACGAAATCAGTTCCGCACCCGAAATCAATTCTTATCGATTCCGAGAACTCGACCAGCATGCTACAGCACAGGCCTAATCAACATTGATCGAGTTCCGGCTATTTTCTGAGTTTCGGGAATTCGATTGAAACGGAATTAATTGAAATTCCGGAATTCCAGGAACTGCTTCCAATTCCGGAATTACTTCTCGCCCTCACCCTCACGAATGCTGTTGTGGTTGAAGATTAATCTCTGAAATAATTAAGTAATTCCGGGAATTGAGTGGAGACGGAATTGCTCGGAATTCTCAGGAATTCCTAGGAATATCTTCCGATTCCGAAATTGCTCTGAATTGCTTAAAATGTGGGGTAATTCCGTCTGGACTTAGTTCCCGAAATTCCGGTAATTGACGGAACTCGATCATTGTTCAGTAGGTCTCTTATGTTGAATGATGATAGAGTTCCCGGGATTGGATGGAACTGATTCCGGGGCCGGAACTGATTTCGCAATGTTCAACATTGCGGAATAGGATGACTGCTCTCTACTTAAGTGTTGATAATATTCAGTTAATTGTCTGTATTTGAAAAATAATTGCAGAGAAAAATTCTATTACATCTATTTGATAATAACATCATTCAGAAAGTATTTAGAGTAACAGCACTGAGACATTATATCAATATGATCATTGAGGAAAACTA